TCAGCGCCGCGCCCGTACCTCACTCAGCCAGTGAGTGGCTGGTCTGTATGTGGGATCCGAACCCTCGGCGGGAGCGCCACCGTGCTCCCAAGCGGCGCACTGTAGCAGTGCGCCACCGGGCCGGCCCAAAACTTCGTTTTTTAAAAAATGAAGCAAAACAGCATTAACACCAAAACCTGGCAAAGAATGTACTTTTCCCATTAAAAACAAACTATCAAAATTACAAACCAATCCCACTTATAAAAGGCAATGGAAAATCCTGTATAAAATATCAGCAAAGAACTTAAGTAGCACAATTACAGAACAATGTGCCATAATTAGTGTGGTTACTGACCAAAATGCTTCAATTAGTTCAATATTAAGTGACCCATTAAATATAATCCATTAAGGAGTTCTTGTCAAGATGGTGGAATAGACAGTCCCCAGCAACACTCTCTCCCACAAATCAACTAATTTACACATTGAAAGAAAGAAAAAACTGCTCTGAGTGTTTCAGGCCACGGCCGCTTTAAGGCTCAAGCTGCTGAGCGCATGGAGCAGGAGCCGGTAGAAGCTGCAGCTGTGCCCTTCAGATGTCGTTACTTGGAGGTGGCAAGTGAAAAGAGGGCCTTGGTGGCCCCCAGGACAGCAAGACCACTAATAGGGTTCCTGTGGACCCATGCAGGAGCAAGGAGCCATTCAGAGGCCAGTGAGTCATTGCAAGGGACCAGCGCAGGGCCCGTCCCATGGGAATTGTTTGGAGCATGGGCAGTGGGGGAGACAGGCCCACCAGGAGAACACTGGGACACAGTAAGGACAGCCGATCCACCCCCCAATCAGCACGGGACCACTCAGAGTAGACTGTTGGGGAATGCAGAATCGCATGGGGTGCAGTTTGATGAAAAAACTCAGGCCCACATCAGAGTTTCCACACAACCCAGGTGCACCAGATCCCTGGAAAACCAGAAGTACCTATAAGGTCAACCATTAAACCCTGAACTTCATAAAAAGTCTTCCCTAGGGAAACAGCAGCAAAGTAGCAATTTAGCTCAAGCACACAGCTCAAGTACTGGTTCCCACAGGAACTTCCCCCTGTTTTAGAAGTAAGCAAAGGACAAAACATTAGTTCCAGCCCAGGCACAACACCAGTGCCTTGGGACCCCCCTGGGGACCCAGGGCATGGATAAAGGGACTGGACCTCCCTCCCACAACCAGGTCACTCTGCACCAGCACCTCAGGGCCCACCCAGGGACCCAAGTCATGGAGCCAGGGACTGGACCCCCCATCCCCCACAACCAGGCACATGGCACCAGTGCCTCAGGGCCCACCCAGGGACCCAAGGCATAGAGCCAGGGACCCGAGGCATAGAGCCAGGGACTGGACCTCCCTCCCACAACCAGGCACACCACGCCAGTGCCTCAGGAAGTACCTGGAGACCCAAGGCACGGAGAAGGGGACTGGACCCCCTGCCCACAAACTGGCACACTGCCAGCATCTTGGGGCCCTGTCCAGGGGCCCAGGGCATGGATTCGGGGACCAGAACCCCCTCCTACAACCAGGCACACCGCGCCAGCACCTCGGGGCCTACCCAGGGACCCGAGGCATGGAGTGGGGACCAGACACTCCCCACAACCAGGCACACCACAAGCACAAAGGAGCGTGCCAAAAACATCGCCTCCATGTGGGTGGCCCACCACAGCCACCACAATAACAATGGCTGCCGCAAAAGTGGCTAGATGCCACAACCACTCACATATGGTCTGCCAGCCACTGGAGTGCACTGACACAAGGAGAGTCACCAGCAGAGATAAAGAAAAGAAGAGGACCTCTCTCTCCACAAAGCCCATTTCAGAGTGACAGAAGCAGCATCTGCTCTATGATAATATTGGTGGACCTGATCACACCTCTCAGCACTGGGCAGATCATCTAGGCAACAAATGAACAGATTAACCATTATTCTTTCAGAAAGAGAGAAGAAATCTAAGGTAATTAGAGGTGGGAGCAGGGAGGGAGAGGGGGATGGGGAGAGATTGGACAAGGGGCATTAAGAATAATTATGATTTGTCACAATATATGCTAGTAATATTGATTTGATCAACATATCTCAATGTTGAACCCCAAAAATATGTATAATCAATTTTGATTCAATAAAAATTTTTAAAAAATAAAAAAAAATTAAATTAAAAAATATCATCCATTAAATGAATAGATTCAAGGGAAAAACATCTGATCATTTTCATAGAGGCCAAAAAAACATTTGACAAAAGTCATTATTTATTCTTGATTACAAAAGAAAACAAAGATAAAATTTAAATTGATGGGTACTTCCTTAACCAGAAAAAAGATTTTACAGCCAAACCATGATATACCATATCCCATCCTTTTTGAATCTTGCAATTAGACAAGAGGAAAAAGGTAGTGTTATAAAAATTGGAAAGAAAACTATCATTATTTGCAATTATTAGGATTATATAACTGGAAAACTAGGAGAATCATCTAAAAACTACTAGTACTGAAAATAAAATAATTAACTTACGTACAAAATTTATTATACAGAAATTGAAAACTTTTAAGCACAATTTAAGAAAACAAATTGGAAGTTTATTGGCAGAAAATTCCTCATTTCTAACAAGCAGAAAAGATAAAATACCTATAAAGAAATAAACTTAACAAGAAGTGCACAAGTCTTATATAAAGAAAATTAAAAACCTGAAGGACACAAAAAAAGTCTTGAATAAATGGGGACATATAACATGCTCTTAGATCTGAAGACAATCAATCTCATGTGACTTGGTAGAAGTAGAAACTGGCACATCTCTCACAGCAACTTGTCAATAACTATAACAATTACAAGTGTATGTAACCTTTGATCTAACAATTCCAATCCCAGGAATTTATCCTATAAATAGTCCTGCTCCCATATGAAATGATGCATGTATAAGGCTATTCATTGCAGAATTATCTGTAATAGCAAAATATTGGTGATAGCTCATATCTATTATTAGAGCACTGGTGAAATAAATTGTGTCATATCCGTAAAACAGAATAGGATGCTGCTGTTTAAAAGAATAAAGATCTCCATGTACCAAAGCTCCACACCTGTTGGCAGTATTTATCGCCGGAAGTAAGCGCATACTTAGAAAAAAAAATATCACCACCATTCAAGTATATTAACCACATAGAAATAGAACTCTTAATTCTTGGGGGGAAAATCAGAAAAGAAACATAATATCTTATTCAGTAACAGATTTTGTCCAAGTTTTATTTCTGTGGATAATTCTAGTGAAAACTTTTATTTTATTAATATAAAAATAGAACATACATATGACTTCTAAAATTGAAACAGTACAGATATGCATAAGATGTAAAGTAAAGCCACTCTCAACCCATTCGGTCTCATTTTCCAAGGTGCTTTTCAACATATCTTTTTATTTTGATTAACAACAACAATTCTAAATACTATGCTTATAGTCCTATTTCTTGGTTTATCATCTTTAAGCAGTACCTATTGACTTTGCACCATGAAAGAGAATGAATTAATTTAGGGAAACTATCCTTATCTAACCCCACTTTCAATTCAGCTGGTGATATTATTACTTATAGATTCTTAAATATGTATTTTGACTCATCAACTTTAAATAGTACTTCTTGACTCCCTATTATACAAGATGAGGAAACTGATAAGCTAAATTCAACAGAATCAGAGACTAATTCTAAGAAGCATTTACCTTGTTCATAAAGTAGGTTCATATTTGAATCTTTGCAGGCAACCAGGTTGTTGAGTAACGCAATCACACTCTGCATGGTGTTACCCAGAATGTTCTCTTGATGTTCCTGCAATAGATCAAAATTTCCATCATAATCATACAGAAATACAATTACATCATCATAAACACAAAGGAGAAAAAGATCTCCGTCCCTTCATTCTTTGCACTTTAATGAAGCAGATCTTTCTGTGTCAAGGCACTCTCCATCAGTGAGTTAGTGATCTGGGAGAGCATGAAGCAGAGGGGCCAGGAGCCCCTTGA